AGACGCAGAAAAACCCCCCCCCCCCCCCAGGGGGGTGGCCACGCTGCAATTCCTCCTCCATTCTTCTCTCGGGATCTTGGGCACGCAGGTACATGCACCAGTGTGACTTTAAGTCACTGGGTCTGGGACTTGAACTGCAGTCGACTACATAGGAGTCCAACAACATAGTCATTACACCAACTGCTCGTCCCAAGGGCCACTCTTACACAGCTCCTCTTGGGCCTGGATACACTCACTCACACTGGGGGAATGAGGTTTCTCCTAAATGTCAGGATGCCACGATACAGTCTGAACCTCTCTGGGACCTGCGGTTGTACATGAGGCTGTCACCGGCTCATTTCTGATTCCATGTGGATCATAAAGTTTCAAACCCAGAGTTCTTAGAAATTCACTTTCCTCAAGTTCTCACGTGGTAGAGATGGAGACTGGGGGTAGAGAGGGCAGTGTCTGCTGGGCTACAAATCGGCGTGTCCCCCATCCTTGGGCCAGGACACAGACGTTGCAGCCTCTTGGTTCTGGAGCCAATCTCCAAACAGCAGAGGGTGTGCTTCATTCTGCAGTTCTCGCGAGAGGACAGGTGAGTCTGCTTCGTCGGGTGGGTGTCCTGACTGTCCGTTCATCTGTACGAGTTCTTCCAGCAGGCCCACTGTAGACTGGAACTGAGTCACTGGGGGTGACGGCGGAGAGAATCCTGTCTAAGACCCCTAGGGCTGGTTGGGTTTAAGCTGCCACTAGGTCACTTGATTCAAATACAGACCCTCGTTTGTCTCCCTGCTCCCTGACTGCGGCCGGGCTGAGACGCAGTCAGTTCCTCTTTAGTTCTCCGGGTGACTGACCACCTACCACCGCGTCTGGCCAAGTTCCACAGGCTCGCATACCATCGTCACTTAGAATAGCAGACAAGGGTGGGGCCAGCAGACGGCATGGCGATTAAGGTGCTGGATCCCACATAGCCAACTACAGTTTGAGTCCCAGACCCGGCGACTTGAAAGTCACGCCATGTGCGTGCATGTGCCCAAAATCCCAGGAGGAGAATGGGAGAGAAGGGATTGCGGTGTGGCTTCCCCTCCTGAGGGGTGATTTCTCACTTTCCCTCTCACTGTCTCTGGTAAGCACACATGTCCTAGGGCAAACAAAACAAAACCTAATGAAAAAAAGCGTATCAGACAAGGGTGAGCACGTTCCCAAGGTCACACATTTTAGAGACCAGGAAAGCGAGTGTTAGATGGTGGGAAGTGGCAGAGTGGGCGTTTGCCGGGTCACAGGACTAGTCAGGAACGACCCGGTGAGTGCCATTGCAGGTCTGCAGTTGTGGCTCTCTGCAAGCAAGGCTGTAGCCCAGGGAGGAGGGTGCTGGCCTTCACTGCCACGTTCACACTGCCGTCTGCACAGGGTGACTGACAAGGCAGGGCAGGGTTTACTTGTTCCCTTCAGGAGAGCAAGGGTCTTCCTGAGACCTTGCAGACCCGAAGCCACTTCTGGTGACTGGGGGTATTCTCTCTGCCAACACAGAACTGCAAAAAGGAAGGTGTAGCCCTCTACTGTGTTTGGGGGAATTTGCTCCGAGTTTCCAGGGGGGAATTGGGCTCCAAGGGACGCGATGACTGAATGTGTGTTTGCAACGATGATGATTTGATCTGAGAGTTTTAACGACATGCCCAGTGAGACCAACTAGGGTTGCAGTATTCACTCAGGTTGAAAGGAACGTGGACGCCATCGGCATTTTGATATGGCTGGTCCCGGCGTGTCCAAGTCCCAGAGAACCATACTGGGAAGCAGCATCTTCTAGGGCCTACCTGAGGCTCTCATTGATAAGGCCCACGGGCTGGATTTCACGGCAGGTGTGGGACAGACCACTGCTCACACCTCTGGTGCTCCTGCACACGAGGTGCACCCACTAGCTGATGTTACCCTCCCAGCTGGGTGGCATCAGCCCTGTTTTAGGTTTTAACAGGGCTAGATAAGGGATTGACCAAGACCGCAGATAAAGCCGTTTCCAATCAGGGTACACGGGACACCAAAGCTGGAGGGCAGAGACGAGCCCTCCTGCCCCACTCTGCTCTATATCCCGGTTTCCGGAGTCCACGGGATGCCCAGTACCCCAGGTGGCCATGCCAGGACCTGACACAGCTCTACACACTGCAAATGAGCAACACTTCTGAATGAAATAGGGACACAGAGTAACACAGAGGCTTGCACAACTTTTAGCCCTCTGCACACAAAACCACAGCAAAACAAGGCCCTGCTCAGAGAGTCCCGGAGCTACGCTCCGCTGGATTATTTTTGTACACTTTTTTTTTTAATGCAAGGATTAAGCAATATTATTGACACTATGGAGCATACTACGCAGAGAAAAATAACTCTCTTGTGATATTCTCATAATTCGTCCTGAAGCTTTTGCCACCTTTCCAACATCTGGAGCTCAGAGGCGTGAAGCTCCACTCGCGAGGACACAGGGCCTCTCTCCACGTTCGCACGAAAGCCCCGCGGAGCCCACCCGCACCCGGGCCTCTCGGACTGCCCCCCTCCCACCGCGTCTGGCCAAGTTCCACAGGCTCGCATACCATCGTCACTTAGAATAGCAGACAAGGGTGGGGCCAGCAGACGGCATGGCGATTAAGGTGCTGGATCCCACATAGCCAACTACAGTTTGAGTCCCAGACCCGGCGACTTGAAAGTCACGCCATGTGCGTGCATGTGCCCAAAATCCCAGGAGGAGAATGGGAGAGAAGGGATTGCGGTGTGGCTTCCCCTCCTGAGGGGTGATTTCTCACTTTCCCTCTCACTGTCTCTGGTAAGCACACATGTCCTAGGGCAAACAAAACAAAACCTAATGAAAAAAAGCGTATCAGACAAGGGTGAGCACGTTCCCAAGGTCACACATTTTAGAGACCAGGAAAGCGAGTGTTAGATGGTGGGAAGTGGCAGAGTGGGCGTTTGCCGGGTCACAGGACTAGTCAGGAACGACCCGGTGAGTGCCATTGCAGGTCTGCAGTTGTGGCTCTCTGCAAGCAAGGCTGTAGCCCAGGGAGGAGGGTGCTGGCCTTCACTGCCACGTTCACACTGCCGTCTGCACAGGGTGACTGACAAGGCAGGGCAGGGTTTACTTGTTCCCTTCAGGAGAGCAAGGGTCTTCCTGAGACCTTGCAGACCCGAAGCCACTTCTGGTGACTGGGGGTATTCTCTCTGCCAACACAGAACTGCAAAAAGGAAGGTGTAGCCCTCTACTGTGTTTGGGGGAATTTGCTCCGAGTTTCCAGGGGGGAATTGGGCTCCAAGGGACGCGATGACTGAATGTGTGTTTGCAACGATGATGATTTGATCTGAGAGTTTTAACGACATGCCCAGTGAGACCAACTAGGGTTGCAGTATTCACTCAGGTTGAAAGGAACGTGGACGCCATCGGCATTTTGATATGGCTGGTCCCGGCGTGTCCAAGTCCCAGAGAACCATACTGGGAAGCAGCATCTTCTAGGGCCTACCTGAGGCTCTCATTGATAAGGCCCACGGGCTGGATTTCACGGCAGGTGTGGGACAGACCACTGCTCACACCTCTGGTGCTCCTGCACACGAGGTGCACCCACTAGCTGATGTTACCCTCCCAGCTGGGTGGCATCAGCCCTGTTTTAGGTTTTAACAGGGCTAGATAAGGGATTGACCAAGACCGCAGATAAAGCCGTTTCCAATCAGGGTACACGGGACACCAAAGCTGGAGGGCAGAGACGAGCCCTCCTGCCCCACTCTGCTCTATATCCCGGTTTCCGGAGTCCACGGGATGCCCAGTACCCCAGGTGGCCATGCCAGGACCTGACACAGCTCTACACACTGCAAATGAGCAACACTTCTGAATGAAATAGGGACACAGAGTAACACAGAGGCTTGCACAACTTTTAGCCCTCTGCACACAAAACCACAGCAAAACAAGGCCCTGCTCAGAGAGTCCCGGAGCTACGCTCCGCTGGATTATTTTTGTACACTTTTTTTTTTAATGCAAGGATTAAGCAATATTATTGACACTATGGAGCATACTACGCAGAGAAAAATAACTCTCTTGTGATATTCTCATAATTCGTCCTGAAGCTTTTGCCACCTTTCCAACATCTGGAGCTCAGAGGCGTGAAGCTCCACTCGCGAGGACACAGGGCCTCTCTCCACGTTCGCACGAAAGCCCCGCGGAGCCCACCCGCACCCGGGCCTCTCGCGAGCGAGCGAGAATTTTGCGCGCTCGCGAGGTTTGGCCTGTTGGCGCGCCGTAGGTCGCGATGCATTCTGGGCCTTGGCAATATGGCGTCCTCCTTGATGTGCTGATGAGAGGAGTTTCAGTGTAGCTCCAAACCAGAGGGCAAAGCACTTGTCACCCGCTAAGCCCACGCTGCCCGATTGCTCCGCGCGTCCGTGTGGCCCGTTGCTCGGGGCTCGTCCTCAGGCAGGACAGAGCCACGGGCCGGCGGCCAGGGCCGGCCTGGCCGCGCGGACCCGGGGCTGAGGAACCGGCTGCGGCGAGCACGATGGGCCAGTCCTGGCTCTGGTTGCAGCAGCTCAGGCGAGTGCGGGACCCGCAGGGTTGAGAGTGGCTGGGGGGGAACACAGGGGCCTTTTTACCGCTCTTGTT